ATCCATAACGAAAAGGTAGTTTAAAACAACAGAAATCGATAAAAAATCGAGTAATGTAGGAAATTTTAAGAAGAGCTTAAATGAATTCAGAAATATCACTGACTTGTAAACTGTTCATAAGGTTCCATTCCACCCAAGCTTTGGCTAAATTCGACCCCAGCTTTTCCGATGGAATGATTGATCGGCCGATAAGCAAATCGACTGTCTAAAAACTCGGTAAAAATGAAAAAAAATGTATCAACAGTCGTGAAAAGTGTAAATAAGTATGAATATAATAAGAAAATGCATATGCAAAATCGAAGACAAATTAAAACTTTATAAAATTTTAATTATGCCCCTCCTGGTTCCCCCTCATGATAAATAGGAAATATTTATTAATATATGTGTATGTGCTGATAATGTAGCAGTCGTAAAAAACAAGATCAAGTAAAGGAGAGATAGCCAAATGGAAATTAAATGTTTGATTTGAAGAAAAACAGGGTTTCGAAGAATTCCTTATTGATATATTGTGACATGACTTTCCATTTCGAAGGAAAAGTTGATTAAAAGTAATTCATGTGGTCTCACCGGAAACCGAAGGAGGATTGCCGCGTAGGGAAAACTGCCGTATTGTGCAATGAAGTCCTCGGCTCACCGTCCTGCGACCTCAATGAAACAGCTAAGCTTTCGTCTGTACCACTTTGACAAACAACATCAGAGCAAGATTCCATACTTTACAAAATAGAGCAAAAATATACTAAAAGAAGAGAAGGTGGCCGGCTGCAATCCTAGTCGCCTTTCATACATCTAACATAGTGATCTAAATGAGGCCTCCCTTGATTGGGATGGTTACTTCAACCTCACTCTACATGCTTGCAGATGAGTGAAGTTACTTCACGAACCGGAAGTGCGTTCGGTGGCAGCTGTTTCCCTACGATCTTCTACGCGACAATCCTCCTTCGGTTTCATCTGAGACCACACCACGAATTCCTTCCAACTAGCTTTTCCTTCGAAATGGAAAGTCATGTCACAAAATGTTTGATTGCCATTTTTTTTTCAAATCGACGATATTGGAAGTAACGCAAAAAATGATAGGTAAGTTGTGCAAAAACTACACTGGCAGTGATTTAAAGAAAAAACAGTTGATTGATTCATAGATAAATAATAACAGCCAGAGATATGCTGCGAATAAGGGGCCTTGCATATGAGAATTTAGGACAAGTATATCAGACAAACAAGTCGGAAAAAGGAAGAATATGCGAAAAAAATTGGCTTTAAAGGAATCTGTTCGCTCACAATTGTTGAGGCCAATGTCATTTCGAGTGAGTGTGATGAAGAAAGTCTAAGATCAATCTCATAAACGATGGCGGATTCCAAATGGTCAGCTGTCGGTTGGCTCAATCGGAATATTCTGATTAGCACTGTGCCCGAAGCAATTTCCTTTGCTTCTGTTGAAAACGTGATAAGCTCTCGTTCGTCATATGGATGACATAATCAGAGCGGAGTATCATTCTAACAACCATATTTAGGTTAACGAGTCAAGAAAACTAGCAGGATTATTCTTTCTATGCCCAAGAGGAAACCACCATTGTCTTCCGATGGGAGTTAATTATCGCATATATTCACTGGGATTGGAAGTAAGCTCAACAAGGAGAGTTGTTTGGCGAGAAAAAACAAGATAAATCAACAAGCCCTATAAATCACATTCCTGTCTATTTCGATGGAGATATTCAAGCCGTAGAGAAAAAAGTCGATAAGCTTTGCGACAGTGAAGGACATTCTACAATGTAAAACAAGTATTTCCAGAACATAAGCAAATCTAACTCAAATATTCAAGAGGCATCATTCAGACTAATAATTGGCAAGCCTTTATATAAAACCAATGTACATGAACAATTCAAGGGGGAAGACGGTAACGACACAGTTGGAGATCTTAGAAATGAAGAATATTCGTTGAACGGAGCAGGCCACGACGATTTCACCATTATTGCAGTAATTTATCCAGCGATCACTACATTATAATCTGGTCGCAAGGTAAAGAAAACTTGAAGACTTTCAATATTCCTGAATATGAGTTATGATAAAGTAAAATTCAAAATGGAGGTGGATAAGAACAGGAAGTGACTGTTCCTATACTGAGAGATTATTAAGTAAAATGGAAATCAAAATACAGGATTATTCTGAAAGAAATCCCAAGCTGTAAAAAGCTCTATTTTAAGTCTCATTATAACTAGACTAAATATAAGAATAGCAGCGAGTAAGATCGTAAGGAGCCGAATAGCGAAGGATGCGGAATAGCGAAAAAAATAATTGGGCAAATTAACTCGGATGTTTTTAAGGAAGGTAATGAAAATTATACAGCGTGGAGTGCGGAGGGTTCTCATGAAAGCTGCTCAAAAGGGCACACCATCCTACATTTAAATAAGCACGGAAAAATAGTGACAGTGAAGGTGTTATACGACGATATTGGAGAGGTGAATAGCCCAGGACACAAGGAGAGATACCACAACTGTTTAGCAGACATTTGGTCAAAGGATCGGCTTCACTTGTCCCTTGGACGAGTTGTAGTGTGGTGCTAAGAATGGCAAGGTTCACTGACGATGCCAGCGAAACTTCTGGAAATGTACCACGTTCACGGTTCGCCTTTGTAAATTAGCATGCATAAAATGAACTCCGGACTAGGTGCGTTCCTCTAAATCTTCCTACAAATATGACCAAGTTGCGAAAACAAGGTCAAACAACTTCTACTTATATTTATCTTTCATTAGTAAAGCTGTCTTGTAGGTCTGATGAATACCTGTATCAAGAGGGAAAAATAAATAGGCATTTAAATCGGGTTTGACTACCAGAAAAAACAATCGCGTCAGATGGCAGCACGAACTGCCAAGGTGTTGAAGGATAGCTGAAGAATGGGTTTTGTCCAATGCCTTGGTGTCCAGGACCAGAGGGAGCCAAGAGGGCTGAGACGACGGCTGGAGTAAGAGAAGGGGAGTCATGCAAAGGCTCCGTTGGCCCAAGGAGGTAGTCAACATCAACACGACCAAGAATTTCGCGAGGGACTGAATAGATGAGATTGGGCGAGAAGTCAGTAAATAAAACAGGGGTAGTAGTAATGTTGGGGAAGCTAGTTGTGACTGAAGCTTCACCAGTTACAGAAGAGGGATGAGAAGAGGAGTAGTGATCAGTGGCATAGGCTGAGGTGGCTGCGATTGGGGATGCTGGTGGCAGAGGCAGGCTGAGTCGACGGGTCAAGAGTAAAAGAATACTTGAGAGCTGAGCCTCGGGACTGGACAAGAAGCGAGTGTAAAGCAGTTGGCCCTATAGGGAATATGAAGCGACGGAAGCGATATAGATATAAAATTCGATAGAAAGCACATATAGATATGACAAGTATGAGAAGAAACAATGAAATCACCACAAGCTGAACAAAAGTGATAGAGAATATGCCACCTTAATTAAACACTCAACCGATTTTGGAATGAACAGTACTTATATAGATGGCCAGACTAGCAATTTACAACAAATATCCTCAAGATAACCCAAATGTAGAGCCTAGTTAAAGATATAACATTGTAATGGCCCTTTTAATCTAAGTACACGCAGAATAAGTTCAAAGCAACATTAATAAAGCTATACAAAGAACAAATATAACAGAGATAAAAAGGTATAGAATCGAATAAATCAAAATTAAATTAGAGTATATTCGAATCGCAGCTAATTTCACATCATCCATTCCACAACTCCCGTCTCACACTAGTATGGATCACGGTTTAAGGTCTCTAATCAAATTGAACCATTAACCGATTAGCTCTATTAGTGCTCCTATACAATATATAGTTCAGGCTAAGTTAAGGCACCTAAACGCAACTACTTGAATATATATCAGTTAGGAGAGCACTCACCCCCAATCTTATCTCAAAAGTATAAAATAAGCTAATCTTGTTAATTTACCTGTAAGATCTATCCAAATAGGTTCCCCACAGGCATATTTAATCTTTTTCCATTCCCTGAGAATCTTAACTTATTCGGCTAAAGTATCGGAAACAAATCTTCTTAATAAATCCTGAAAGGCCCAAAGCACTCAGCCCTAGTGAACACCATAGGCTAAACAAAAATAGCTCAGCATCCAACCATGTCACATTACATCTAATTATAAATAAAGTTTGTTACTATCACCCCTAGTAGACCTTATTCCTATCATTTAAATCTAATCTAATTCTAGCATTTTTGGGATTTACTATCTAAAACTTGAAAATCTCTTAAGCCAATTCTCTAAACGCCCACCTGTCGACGCAAACGGACTACTTCTCTCTCTGACAAATTAACCAAATCATGCAGGCTGTCGGCGCGCCGCCTTGGTATCCAGACCATGGCATCACTCCATGTGGCCGGACCGATGGCCTCGACGAGCGGAAGATGTGCTAAATGAAGTGTCCTTTCGCCCAGAACAACAGGCACAGCCCCAGCAGCTAAGCAAGCGACTACCTGAGAACGAAGACCTTCACCAGGATCTAAAACCCCAGGTTGTAGCCCATCAGGCCTTTGAGAAAAGCCCGATTGTGAAGATAAAGATCCAAGGACTGGCGACCATACAAGGCAGAAAGTTGACTCCAGCAACAGCTGCGTAAAATGATAAAATAAGAAGTTTAAGGTATTTAATCAGATTAATTTTAGCCAAATTTGATGATATAATTTGAGATCGAGTGATTTTAACTTTCATCTTTTTCATAGCTTAAGGTGGAATTCAGAGATTGTATCTAGTGCCAATTCATTTAAAATTGAAAATATTTCTCCTGTATTAGATGGGAGTGTATATTACCGATAATCCTATGAATGAAGAGAAACGTGAGAAAAAGGAAAAAAACCACCATCCCTAAATGTTTATGGCATTTACCCCCTAGCTTGCCATTTCGCTTCCATTCGCTTTGAACCATTTACAATTCATTAGGGTATACAATTAATTCATTTAGTCACATTAGCACCATGTGCTCACAACTTCATGCATGAATAATTTATCAGCGTATATTATGATAAGCATAACTAATCGATTCTGTAACTAAATTAGCAGGATTTGGGCGAGCAAATTATGTACAGCTACAATACTAACACTTCCGCAACCAATATATACTTAGTCACTAGTTCGAATCACATCCTGATTAAGTACTCATGAACTGAGTCTATTAATTCAGTAGATAAAAGTTATTACATGTAAATGAGATATATAGCGATAATAAAATTTTTGTACCTGTGAAGGAAATGGTAAGATTTTCTTTGATGCTTTAGCATACGCGAAACTGTTAGTAAATTTATCGTAAAACTTCCAGAACAAGTGGTTTAATTAATCTCTCCTCTAACATTTTGTATATTTCGTGAGGCTTTCGTATTTAGGATTGCGATTGCGGTTAAGGATGAGATTACCAATGTTAAAACCTATCGAGTTTGGTAGTGTTAAAAAAATCACGATAAGAAAGCAGCCGAATCCAAGCAAATGTAAGTGACGCTAACGGCTGAATAATGACAAACACGGTAAATAGCTGAGAAGCCTAACTTAGTATATAATAGAGGAAAATACACATTAGAACACTATAAATAAAAAACGATTAAGGTATGAGAGAGACCCAAGCTAATAATCTCATGAAAGGGTGAACGCTAGTAAAGAACATAGTTCTACCAAATGCACAAAAGAAAAACTCAGAAATAGTGCGACATAAAGTCAATTAGCTTCTAAATCCTCCTTAACTAGCGCCTCGTCACGGCCTATTCATGCATAAAAGCAAATAAAGAAGTGATATTTTTAAAATAAACTAAATCACTGAGATAAAGAGGCAATTAAAATAAACCTAACCTCAGACTCAGTTTTTAGGTACTCAAAATGAATTTCAATATCAAAAAATTATTACTCAGCCTTATTTAGCATAAGTTAACAATAAATTTAGATCGAGTTCCGATTTTCTTGCAAAATCGACTATTCAAAAAGATTAAGTAATCCTGTAAAAAAACAAACAGGCAATAAAATGCTTTAAAATGGTAAAAATATTAGAGAAAAGATGAAAAAAGAAAGGAATGAACGGGATAATATTACAAAGTAATCAAAGAAATAGCTTTGCGGCGGTATTATTAAAGGATATACAGTTCCATTAGTATTCAATAGTTATAGTAGATGATCGCTTTTGTGTTT